TTTCCAACTGAGTTAAAAAGATCCTCCCTGATTTAAAATTAAAGTTCCCACTTTCCCAGCTTATTTTTCTCTGGGCAAGTATCTGACAGAAGCAACAAGGTTCTAATACAGTCATGTACCTGTATATAAAGACTGCCTTGTTCAAAATGCCAGGCGAAGAAACTCAACAGAAACTTGACATTTTGTGAACATGTTAAGTAAAAACTTTAATTTAATAATTTTAATTTTATGAGGTGATTTGTTTTTATATGGGGTCACGCAACTCTTTTACAAATTATCCTTATGGCTTATTTTTGTTGTTGTTTGTTTGTTGTTATGTAAATCTGCCATTACATTGTAATAAATAAATAAATACATAAATAACTGACTATGTGTATTTGAATATTTTGATACTTCTTGGATCAATCATTGAAAACAGCTGGACTAAGCTAAGTTGTAGCCCTTTGTCAAAGCCATGACCAGAGCACAATACTGGTACTAATTACAACAAAATCACAAACAGACGGTAAATGTAATTAATGCATGTGGATGGAACATTACTTGTAAGCAGTTGATATAAAAATGCTTACTATGATCTGCCTGGAGGTGGGCTTTTGCGGCCAGTGAAAAGGAAGCAAAACATTACATCAGATGATAGACATAATCAGGATGTAACATGTCGATCAAAGTCGATCATCGAAAACGTAGTCGATAAGTCGATAGTACTCGATGTTTGTCAATAATTGTCAATCGACAAGTTAAGTTTGTCGATGAAAGTCGATAATCACAAGGTTTTCAACTGATTATCGATTTTATCGACAAAAAAGCAGACAAATGTTTCTATCAGCTACAAAATTCAAGTGACCAAACCAATAATAGCTCCAATGACTTTTTTGATGCCGAGTGTAAACAGCTCTAAAGTAAATCTGTATGACAATAAACTTAANTTTTATGAGGTGATTTCTTTTAATATGGGGTCATGCAACTCTTTTACAAATTATCCTTATGGCTTATTTTTTGTTGTTGTTGTTTGTTCGTTGTTATGTAAATCTGCCATTAAATTGTAATAAATAAATAAATAGATAAATAACTGACTACATGTATTTGAATATTTTGATAGCTCTTGAATCAATCATTGAAAGCTAAGTTGTATAGCCCTTTGTCAAAGCCACGACAAGAGCAGAATACTGGTACTAATTACAACAAAATCACAAACAGGCAGTAAATGTAATTAATGCACCTGGATGGAACATTACTTGTAAGCAGTTGATATAAAAATGCTGACTATGATGTGCCTGGAGGTGGGTTCTTGCAGCCAGTGAAAAGGAAGCAAAACATTACATCAGATAATAGATATAATATGAATAATTATATATAACCTTAAATCTGCATATACAAATAATCCCAGAACAGGTAAGCGTAAGCTTGTATCGTTCGCAATACCCATGTATAATATTATAAATAATAATAAAAGATTTGTCACGACAGTCACG